TTGTTATTGCGTGTAGTGCAATTGCTGAGCTTTTTTCTATATTACTTATCTCTGTAGGCTAAAAGACCCAGTGGACCCAATTAAACAAAATAATATAATTTACAAAATACCTTGTAATGACTGTGAGTTCAACTATATAGACCAAACTAGTAGATCGAGGGTAATCAAATTGTCGGAACATACGAATTTAGCCAATGTAAGAATGGTTGACCCCGAGAAAATAAGTAATTTAGAAAAAAGCTCAGCAATTGCACTACATGCAATAACAAACAACCACACAATAGGGTGGGAGAGGGTTAAGATTCTAAGAAGTAATCTATGTAGGTGGAGAGCGAGAGAGGTTGATTACTGAATCCCGGTTCATTGAATCTACACCCAACGCATGCAACAGAAATGACTCAATGCAAATACCAGAAATATGGAAGATATTATTACCACCAGTCAAATCAGAAGAGGATAATAAATAATCTCAAAATTCTATTTCAATTAAGCGCATCACAACATCCTAACAAGTTACTTATTATGACTATAAAAACACTCGTCTTATTTCCCATCTAATTGTATTTGATCAACAACACTAATATTATTATCTCTGAATGTACATTATCCCATACAGATTTTTATTCAAATATCTAGTCAATTCCATACATATATATAAATGAAGGAAAAAGTTGTGTTGAGTAACTTGATATGATTATGAGCAATAATTTGTGCTCGAAACGTCATCAATTAATATTACTGTGTAACACTGTGTGATTTACCAAAATAAAATCTTATTCATAATGGAGTTGTACTCTACCACAGTGCCCAAGTTTTATACTTTTATACAACTCATAAGTTTTGAAATAATAAAGATTTGTAGCTCAAATAGATGTCTTTGATTTGGTTGTGTTCTCTGAGCTGGTTGATTTAATTGCGAAGCTTTCCTCGTTTCTCTAGACAACATCTTCAAAGCAAGCTTTGATATGAATAGAATCTTTTTGAATTCACCATGAATGATATAATTGTATCTCCTGACAACCTTTGTCGTTATTGGTTGTTAATTTATATCTTTATTGACTTATAATTTCAACTTTTTCGTCATGTGACTTATCCTTTATTAGATGATAAATTTGACCTATAGCAATGTATCCGTTAATCACTGACTCATCTGAGTACCAGGCTTCTAGAAATTCATTGACATTTTAGGTGTTTCCACTGCTTAAAACTTGTACATTCTTCTAATCAAATTGGTGTCCATAATTGTCTGCATGCATCGATATAATATATTACATGTAGTGTCTTTTCACAGTTAACTTATGTTTTCTTGGATTCTGAGTTAACGGAGACGCCTAATTTGATCAATGTAGTGCTTATCACAGTTTACACATTTTGTTTTGTAGATGGTATTGATCTTTTCTACTTTTGCTGTGGTATCTACTGGTCTTCAAAATATTGAATGAAGTGAATGCATTGCATTGGGTGTTATTTCTGTTTTAAATGGTTTTATTATTCCACCCGTTATTTCAGAGATATTCTTGTGGTTTTTGAGAATGGATTTTTGTTGGTATTTCGATTTCAGTCTAAACAGTTTTTTGATGAAGTTGTATAGGCATTCATTTCCCATGAAGGTAGTGAATATTTTTCTTCAGCATTGAAGTGCTACAATGTGTTTGAAACCTTTTCACTTCATATCAAAGCTCACGTTGAAGATGCTGTCTAGAAGGACAACGAAAGCTTCGCAATTAAACCAACCAGCTCAGAGAATGCAACGAAATCACAAACTAATAAGTTTAATTGGCGGATGGTGACTAGCAGCGGAATCAAGAATGCGCATTTCTTTCCACACGGGACTCGTCATCTGGATTTGCCTGTATTCCGCAGTGAGTGATAATGTTCCCACCGAGGCTCGAACCATGGTTCCAGTGACGAGTCCCAAATGGGACGAAATGTGTATTATCCTGGATTCTGCTGCTAGTCACCATCCACCAACTAACTTCCAATTACATACCCAGACATCGTCGAAGCATCTGCACAAGAAGCCAACATGTCAACCTGAGACCGAGCACTTCGGTCCAATCAGCCGACAGGAAAATCTATAACTGAATTATACTAATAAGTTTATTTCAAAGGATTTATGCACATTCTTATCCAAACTATATTTTAGCATCTTGCCGCATTTTTCTCGAACAAATACAATCATATTTAATGTGAAATCCATTGGAAACATATTCCATGATAAAAGAATGTCCTTCAGTATACTTTTTATTCGTTTCTAACGTCTAGTAGGCAGTACAGTTCCCCTTACGTGAGCCAGACTATTAGTCATTAAAGTTATATCGTGTTTGCATGATTAACTGTTGGCACTATCATTATTCTCAAATCAAGCACCACTGTTGATTATTTCAGATGATGGTTACTTGTATGCAACACGTTTAGTGGATCAGCTGACGACTAACTGAGCTTTTAAACACGTTTAAAACACCCTGATAAAATAGATTTAACTCATAGGTTAGTGGATGTAAATTGACATAATACTACTGACTTAGAATTAAGCAGTAATTAACTAAAAGTATGCATTTCTGCTGCAATCTATTGTTTCTGGACTTGACAGAACAAAGTACTAGCATATTAATAAGATAAGTAAAAATTAAATGCACTTATCGTCACATGAAATAACCAACTATGAAAACAAACTACTGACGACTGCATGAATGACCGGCACTACCAACGCTGTCATTAGGTGAAAACCCTTTTTCTCATCCTTATAAATTATGGCATGCTGTGACCTGATAATTCGTTCGCAAAAACCAATGAACAAATTCCTGACTATTTCATAATATTTATCGTGTAATGCACTCTTATCATGCTGATACTCTATTGATTTGGTATGAGTCTTCGACTCAGTGCTAAGTTATCTACGAATGGTACAACCCAAGAATTTGACATGATACTGTGGTGAGAACTGTCTGCAAGCCAAAATTGTAGACAACAATTTACATCAATGTTTACGTCCCGAATCGAGGTCATGCGAAAAAAAAACAATAACAAAGCTTAACCCTGAGGAACTCACCAACCAATCACAGCAAACTTAATGTGTGCAAATACGATTCGCAGATATATATGCCTTAACTTTCTAAGAAACGGCCACAAAGAGATGACAGAATACAGAATTCAGCAAGAAAACAACCAATCTGCCAACAATAACGATAATAATAATAATGTACATAAAAATCCACAAATATCTCTTGATTTTGCAAATAAATGATCTGTTGCCTGGTCCTTGTCTTCTGTCGTTACAATACATCATGCATTGAGGACATTCAAACACATTGAAATGTGTTCCAATTGCAGTCCTGATTATCTGAAAAAAATAGCAGCTCACTAGATATAGTCAGCCATCTAAAATATAGACATACATACAGATATGTTGGCTTACATTTTAAAGCCCTGGGTCTTATCTCATAAGACTTAAAAACGTCTATAGCTTAAGTTTACTAAGTTAGCTCCCAGCGACTCTCTGCGCCACTTAACCACATAGTAAAATCAATCATTATGATTTTAAAATGATGCCAATGTATTTATTTGAAACCATGTGATTGTACATTGAGTTGTTCTTTTTCTAACTTTATAGATTGATTACTTGTATCATTTTGTTGTATGAAAAAATGATGGTGGCGGGTATTGATTTGCTTCAGTTTTCATTGACAGCATAAATAACCACTAAAAATGTATTCAGACAAACTGTAAAGAATGCTAATAAATACACTATACAATCCAGTCACTTGGCATCATTGACTTACACTGTGCACTTTGATCTCTAATCTTGAATGACTACTTTTGACAGAACTTGATATCATTTTTTGAATGAATATTAATGTTTGTTCAGTATGCTAAGGAATTATAAGATATACGATTTCGAGTTAATTTAAATAAGTTATTCCACATTATTCCAAGAAGCAGATGTTTCCGTAATTCTTAGGATAAGGGTAAGTGCTGCCTACAATGAACAGATGAATGTGTGAAGGAGAACAACCTAATGAAGTACAGTCATACTGATAAATTTGAAGATAATAAGTAGTGGAAGCATTTAGATTCGACTAATTTGTATCCTTTGTACAAATATCATTTTTTTAATGGATCATAAGAGTCTGATGAAAAACCATGAATTTCTACTGAATAAATAAAAATAGAAGCATTGTTTACTACATGCAGTTAAGCTCCTAAACTGTCTCAATAAAAAATAGCTAAAGTACGCAGATAAATAATAGCGTTTACAAAATAACAATACTACAAGAAGACATCGGTACTAGGGAGAGACAGATGTTGACTTTATTGTACCAGTTGCAGATATGTTTTAAATCTCATTAGAACAATGCATATACACCTAAACATTTCCATCTCAATAAAGCTCAAACAATTGCTTGCAAGAAATAACTAATAATAATATATAAATGCTTTAAATTAGCTGCCGAAAAAAATGAGGCAATATTCCAGTTTCAGTAATAATTTAATAGACTAGGGGAAGTGGACACGCGTTGACACTTTTTAAAAAACATACAAAGGTCAACCCGGTGTTCATTGAACACCAACATTGTAAAGATTTGAAGGACATTTCTTAGCATTGATTGATAGCTAATTAGTCCCCATAGAATATATAACCTTCTTTTCGTCAAGTTAATTTCGGGTGCGATAGCAGCTGTGAAACTGTGGTGACAGCTGGCTGCTAGCCAAAGTTGGTAGACAGTAATTGACGTCAATGTTTATGTCCCCAATATTGGTGTGAGAAAATAGACAAAGCTTGCGTAGGCGGAACAGTTACATATGGATGATCTGACACAGCCACAAAGAGATGCAAGGTTAACTTTCTGTGAGAACAATCAAACGTATTTACTACAATAACTACAATAATGTACATTAAAATCTATAAATATGTGTTGATTTTCTTAATAAACGATCTGTCCTGGCCCTTGTTTCTGTTGTTACAAAACGAAATGACTAAACCGTTTACTCAAGTATTCAGTAAATACAATAATGTGTGATGAGCGATTGCAGACTAGACATCGATAATACTTGCATTAACTAACTCAATAAATACGCTTTCTTTATCTTCATAGTCTAAGACAGAAACATAGTAAGTATTCTGTTTGAGTAATTATGATATACATGTAATAACAATTCACCGTATTATTTAACAATTAAAACAGCATTAAGTGATACCAATACAAGCCAAAAAGTAAAATATATAAAATAAAGGAAGGCAGACTTATCAGCAAAAATAGACGAGTGGATGAAACGTTATTTAGCTAAACATTAGGTACAAAAAACACGATGGCGTTTTTTATGCACAAGTACAATACCTCTGAACAATGTTTAGAGTGAAATTTTTGCAACAATGAAAATCAGAAACACAACAGGCTCATCGGGTTTTTAGTGTTCACGTGATGTTAATGACAAACTAATAGTAGAAATATGAAGATAACAATCCATGAATGAGTGATTTACAATTGAACTTCACAAGCAATCATGAAAAAATGTCAAAGATACGGCGAATCTTTGGAACAAGATAAAAGCATTGTATCAGGATTAGATCACATTTGAGACCCATCCGCGGCAGCAGCTATATTCTCTGGTCCTAGTATAGGATCATTTCCAGCCCAGGGTGTTTCTTTCCAAATGAACCACAGACCAGCAGCCCACAAAGCAACGTTGGTAAATCCGAATATCTAGATAGTATTCAAAAATTAAGAAACGACATTTTACACTTGAATTTTATTTTCAAACATTTATAGCCTCTTTGTGCACTTACCAACTGGTCCCGTGTGTCTAAACAAAGGACAGCGTGTACAGGTACAAACATATATATATAGCAGTCACTAAAGAGCAGTGTATGAACTATTACAGGTGTGACAAACACTACATGAAATTTACCAGAAAGCGGGAAAAGAAGCGGTAAGTTTACAAACAAAAAAAATGAAATGTTCACAACTTTCAGTTCAAGTGTACAATTTGAAGTCTAATAGAACTTAACGAACAGTGAATCACTTTCCTCACAAAAACGACCGCAGAACATTATATTTTACATAGTTATTAGAACACAAACCATATATAATATAGACACTAAAAAACGAATAGAGCATAAACCTGTTTTGCTCACCAGCAACTATGGGATCATAGTTTGTGATATTATTAAGCTGCAGACCAGACTTTATTCAAAGCTCGGGAAGTGGTCTCCTAAGAGTCATCTCATTGAGTAATATTTCAGCTCGGAACTAAACAACACTTCTTCACATGTTACTGCACCTGTTACTTTACGAACCACGTGTCACACTTATGAGTGTCTTTACTTTCATCAGCAGCTCATTACTGCCTTAAATCTCAGTCACTTTGTACAGTTTTGAGTTGTTAAATAGTTTAGCCTTCAATGAGATATCTAGTAACAAATCTAACCTGGTGTTGCATACCTATAGGATTCAAAATCAACAACCATATATTTGATACACCCGACGAGTTTATTAGTCAAGGGGAAAACAAATAGTTTTAAAAAATGCGATACAATCACTCCGTTGTATCTTCACCTTTCATATACGAGGTAACAACGCCAACAAACTGAAATGGAATTAGTACCAACACACTTGGAAATTAAGATGTAAGGCTATAACAAACAGACAGTAACAGTTATGAAAGTCAAGTTAAAGGGATTCCTATGAAAAGCTTTATATGTACATGTTCTAGCATTATTAGAAGGTAATTGGCCGTGTAATATAACGTTTCGTCATTTCTTTGCTATATGAATAAGTCTACTATGTCTAGTGTTTTAATACTGTACCATTAATTGCCAACAGAATCAGTCATTAAATTCTTACGAAAATGGCTTTTAAGAATTTTTACTAGTTTATTTCCAAGCTTTCAATCGTCAACCAGCAGAAATTAAATACCCATAACAGGCTTTTTCCAAATGTACCAGGCCACATCTATTGTGTGCTTATGCTTGTACTACACAGTTGCCCAAGATGAAGTAGGTGGAATGGGATTCGGACCCGAAACCCATTGGCTGAGAATCGAGTCCTTTAAGCAATCAGCCTTGCTGATTCACAACTAACCGACAGGAATGCAAGAAATCCATAACTCCAGCTCACTACGTTACTAGACTTTCAAAAATTGGCTTGTATTTTCAAATCATGTTCCCCCTAACAATACCAGGTGTTAATACGGCTTACACGGATACATAGTTAGTTGCTTTGGTAGGCGGGTCTGTACACTGTTGGTTAGTTGAGTTGTAACCCACCGGATTAGTTGCTTGACTTTCAACCAATGTAGCAGTGGTTCAAACGGTGCTCAAACTATCTAAATTTTAGCAACACGGTAGTATCGTCCATCGCTAAGCAATAAATTTGGCATACTTCCAAACGCCTTAACATACGCTTGGCTGATGAGTGTTTGCGTTGCTTAAACTGCTCTTATTACTCGAAATTATGAGTTAGATTGATTGGAATTCTAGTCGATGTATGAGTAGGTCTCAGTTGCTAATTGTTGGTGTTTCTAGATATATTCACATACAAATTAGTTAAAGAGAAATTACAGATTCATACCTTAGAGTATAACTGTTGCTAACGAACAAGAAAACTAGGCAAACTATACGGGTTTTGTACAGAGACAATTTCTTGATAAGTAATTTACCCTACAACAATACCTCAGAAATAGAAAAACTCTTAGCACCTGGAATTAATTACATTTATTGATCCGAGATTTTACGACAATCTTTTACTGGAAGAGTTACCCGAAAAGTCTCTTGTTCGAAATTCTGGTTACAGTGCAGCCTACTGAAAGTTAACTCAGTTACAACCCACGTTCATTAAAATCTTATTTAGCATTCATCAAATTATACCGTTAGCGTAACCAGTATTACAATTTGTTGGGGACTGGATGCACTACACACCAATATGACTTGCGGAACCAAGTAGTACACTTGGACACGGCTTTAGGCCAGTGGATCTCAGGCTTGAATCTCACCCCACCTACTTCAGCGTACGTAAATCGGTAGTATCACCAGCATATATACAAGCAATATATAGTAGAGTACCGAATTCTAACACCTGATGGTATAGCCCTATCTAGAGTCACCAACTTCGATCAATAATAGGATGATGAGGACACTGTATATTGCTACTGCAGAGATTAAAACTAATTAGTTGATATTTTCTTCATGCACAAAGAGAATCACAATGTAAAATATAAGTACGTACAACTGGCAAGTGTATAAAAAAACAGTAAACTAAGATTTCAGTATTAAGAAAATTAATGAATGTGTTATTACCAGAGAAGCATTTAATCCACCATACGTAGCTTGTTCTTTAACATGGCAAGTGACAGGATTTTCAATTTCATTACAGATTCTGTCTTCTGATGTGTATTTTTTGAACTGTTGTACATTATCGGCCCATGCGCAAGAAGCAGCGAACCAGAATATGACAAGTAGGATCGACATAATGAATTCCTACAGCATAAACTTTTAGAGTTCCAACTTACGTATTTACTAAAACGCGGGTCACTAAGATAACGATCATGGAAATAAATGTAAAGGACACAAACGCCAATACTTATTAACATCGTTAGCACACCGACGAATACGTAGAACTGGGCTGCCGAGGCGTAATTTCCATACATATGTTTTGTTTCTGAATTTTCACATTTCGGAAGAATAATCGAGTCAATACTATACAACCATGATTAAAACAACTCATAATACCTGAAAGGATAAGTAAACTTAGCACTCCATGTTTCAATACTTTTATTTATACATTTATATTCAAGTTGAACACTTGTCGAAAAATCGCACGTTGTTGCGAATGCAGATACTGCTATAAACTACTTGAGTAGGATACAATTTATTCAGAAAACTTACTATCTCGATCAACTTCATAAAACCCCTAGGTTCCTTGAATACTTCAAACTTTGACGCCTGACCAGTTAAAATTGATTAGCAACAGATAATACGGAACTTACAGAAGGATCTATCATTGTTTCAACCTATAGGTGTGCAAATAAAAACCAAAAAACAGGTTAGTGGTATGCTTCACGATACTGTAGCACACAAGTCAAATGAAGCTCTAGATAAATCTGATAAACCAAGGCAATGTTTCGTTAACTTGGTATTCAGATTGTGATTACGGACTGAGGGTGATAGTTTGTGCATATCTTTTATCCTCTTTTTCTATTTTCTTTCCGTTTTGAGAAAAACTACTCAGGGCGCAGACGCCACTTCTTGGTCCATTCTAATATTGTGTTGACTCTGGATAACCAGTACTCTGTGTCAGTGTAGCTCCTCCTTGATTTCTAAATCCACTTGCTATGTCCACCGAGAAGCCCGAGTGTGAAAGACAGGAAAAGACGGCTGGGCGCTGGGTCATGGCTCCAATGGAACCCAAGTGGGAAACGACGAGGTGGGCATCCGAGGTTGACATACAGGAGATCGTGAGAGCAGTGGGTGAGAAATTACTGGCAGTCGTGATGCCAACTAAAGGCGTTCACAGAGAACAGGGTAAATAGAGACGTGCTGCTGAAGCCAAAATTACACTCGGAATGCAAGGGAATAATAATATAATGGATATTTCTTTGAATTCTGAAGATCGTGATTTGTTTCTCTAACTGCCGACATTATGGTAAGAAAAGATTCAGTTTGTCAAGTGTTTCTTCATATGATAAATCGTCAGTGATGGCTATTAAACATGTGGCTGTTCTTGAAACTTTGTATAGTATGTAAGAGTCACCTTATATGTAAACACTGATTGCTGTCACTTCGCGGAAAATGTCTGCTAAGTGGTAAACACATCTCTGGTGAGCTTAGGAAAGACTCTACGAAGTGTCTATATAGTTCTGAAGCTGCAAATCTAGACTTTCAGACAGTGCAAGTGGCTTGCAAGTCATGACTCACAGTGACAAATGAGTATAGTGTTCGTGAACTGAAGGGAGAGATTTTGTACCTTTCAATACTTTTGTGCTCTATGTCTATGCTTGTGCACTTAACTATATTTGTGGGGAACATCTCTATTTAGGAAGAATTAAAGTGTTTGCTGAGATATGACTGCACTACGAAAATGCTTCCGCTCTTCTTAAATTTTACCCATGCGCATAGGTCATCAGTGTATGGAACCAACGTAGTTTCGCTAAGCCAGAAATAAGGCTGGCAAAGAGGAAGCGTTGGGTATGAGGCTAGCAACCCCATCCTCTAAAAATAAACACTGCTACAGAAACTTCAAGCTTCTTGCTTGAAGCTCTATGTTCCACTGGGAACGTGAAGGAATATATTTTATATCCAGCTTCGCCCGTTAAATGGTATTTAGCACTTTGACCCTCAACTCAGATCCGCAGAAATAAGGAAAATGGTTTCATTGTTATCCCCATACCTCACCTTGCTTTCACCTGCCATGAGACCATAACAGAAAATCATGAAATTATTGAAGTAACTTGCTTTCCTTTTTAGTGTTTCAGTTAAATCAAATGGATGGGAAAGTTCCAGAATAATTTCTGGCTTAGGGGTCAAATTAATAAAAATTACAATTAGGAATTACAATGCCATAATAAACAGGGGGATGGGTAAAACTCAAACAAAGTAGCATAATAACTAAGAAGATTGACATTGTGCAATTAGGGGTTAGAAATGTAAAAATAACAAAATATACAGGATGTTTGGATGAAAAAACTAGTGTGATGAATAATAGTTTATGCAATCAGGGATTTCATATGTAGAAATAGTAAAATGACAAAATAAACGGGAAGTGTGGATATGAAAATATGGTAGTGTAGACAGGGATTAAGAAAACTTAAAATAACATGAATAAACAGGAAGTTTAGATAAGAAAGGCGATGGGATGGTCATTATTGAAAAATCTACCTGTTTATGATGGCCATGGCAGGGAACCTTGTCCCTGTAATTGTAATTTTTATTTATTTCAGTTAAGGCGCTTGTAAGACTTATATGCTTGTACCTCGAAGAATAGTGTCTAGGATCTCCTGTACGGGTAGCAGTCACAGTCACATCTTTCCAGGCGATAGGTTATATCCATGGCATGGAAGGTAGCCCTGACCTCCTTGAGAAGCCAAGGATGAGGTGCACTGGGTCCCAGTGACCATCTTTCGTCTAGTTCACCTGGGTGTTTTAATACAATATTCTGGTCAATATCTACAGACTATATGTCACTTTCTGGTAGTGCGATTGATGCATGGTGACACATGTGGTGGCTATTCTTGTGCAAACACTGTGGAGAAGTACTTTCATTAAGATATGCTTTATTATGGTTGCCCTGGATTGCCTTCTTCAGTTACTTGCCTGGTGACTGCGTGATTTACCATACGCAGAGAGTTCCTCCAGGCAGTCCATTTCTTTTCGAGCTAGATGCATTCTGGATGTTATCTATCACTGGCAGACCGCCGTGGTATATATATTTCTATCTTCATTGCATAGCTTACTGGCTTCAGAGAGTGACAAGTAAGCTGCAGCACTTGTGACTTAGCCCAAGTAGATCAAGGATCTCCTGTTTTTTCTTTGGTGGATTCTATTATATCCCCCTGAGAATAGCCCATGAGAGGGAAGGTGTGATTGCCTGACAGTACAGTTTTTTGAAATGAATCCAACTGTAGACGATCTCCCATGCTGATCGGATACTTCGGGCATTTTGACATGTAGAGACAAATATTAGTTAAGTGATGTATAAATACACTGCTGTGGACACGGAAATGGTGGACAAAGATGTGCTAACGGGACATAATGTTGAAACATATCGTTTGTACACTGACACCAACGTCAAGACCTATGAGAGATCAAAACTCATCTTTTTCCCATCCCACCCCCCTCCTCATAAGTCAGTTACTGCTCATTCTAATAGTTCATCTACTGGGAAACACCAGTCCCACGTAGCTGCCCAAATTGGCAAGTTTCCTAGGCGTAATGTCATACGTCCCACTTCTATTGGGAAAACTAAAGGTCTAGCTGTGTCTGATCATCAAAAACCCTCTATAACATGTGCTAACTGACCTGTTAGCCACCACCAGGCAGTTAAACCTAAGGAGGGAGACACTTTAGTGTCTAAATTAAATTTCCAACCCAGAACACGAAAGCCCGTTATTATGACAGATGCGCGAGCGCCTCTAATCCATCTTATCAAAAGAAAGTCAATCATAATAGACCAATCTTCTTGAGGCAGACTTAATCAGCTTCAAGTGAAAATCCAGTTGTATTCAACCATTACCTGACAAAAAACATGAAGAGGTAATCTGTATCTTTCTGCTCATCTACTACGTGAACCTATCGTCATCCAACCCCTTACAAATGTTCTAGCAAGTATGACATCGGATCGACTCCTTGTTGGCCTAAAGAGCAGTCTACAGCTAGGACAAAGCATATTTCCCAGGAGAGAGCTGACATAATGTCGACACCTTCAGGGGGTACTAATATCTCAAATGGTCACATATGCCTCTCGTGGCACACCCTATCCAAACGACCAACAATCCCTGAATACCACCTTACAAGCCTACCTGAAACCCACCAATGATCCAGAGACAATGGTTAGTGAATCTAAAAACGTGTATACATATGATAATCACGGAGTATTTTATCAAGATTTTGCCCGCGCACTCAAACAAGTAGCCAGTGTTCACCTACTGTCTCTGCAAACACCAGGCCAGCTATAAACACATATTTAGCACTAATTACTTTAGCTTCAATATGCAGATCATCATTAATTACGATCATTAGAGACTGGAGAACAAATGAAATCTCTAATGACAGCCTAAGAATTGATAAACATGACCTTTTTCGGGTGGAGAGAGAGACTGGCCGTGGAGGTGGAACACTAATTTACTCTGAATAATCCGCATGTTCAACCCACTTCAGCAACCCATTTCTGTCACAACTTAATGGCTCTATCTGGGTCAAAATAAAAGTTGTCAGAAGTAAACCTGTACTTATGGGTTGTGTATAACAACCCCCTCATCCATCAGGGAGTATGAGAACATACTCAGCAATATTTAAGTGTCACAGCCAATCTTCCTTTCAGCTATAAAATTATTGGAGGGGATTTCAACATGTCATTTTTACAGGCACGACCAGACACGGTATAAGTTACAATCCTGAAATGTCTATAAATTATCACTTCCTCAATAGTTTAAGTAGTTGAATTATAGCGATAATAATAATTTAATTCTGGAACAGAAACCAGTCACTTTTACAGGCATGAACATATGTACACTAATTAGAACTGGCAGAATATATAATATGATGCGTTAATTTAGATATAGATTAAACACTGATTTATGTGAGAGAAACATTTAAAAATGTACAAATAAGTAAATAGATAATTTTCGAAATCTGCTTTCGACCAAATAAGTTGCAAGATATAGCGTTAAATCTAAATTGTGAGTGAAAAAATACGACATATCAATTTCACGCGAGAACTATAAATGATAGTGGGAGGTAAGTGGCATTTTAGTAAGGTGCTGAAGTGAAACATAAGGGATGCAGAATGAACAATAATTATCAGTGAATGGTTCACAAAGTGTTTGAAAGTGTATAAAATTTCAAAGTCACTGGTGAGTATACCATAATTGTGACATTTCCAGTTGTATATGAGACCATTTTTGAACTTTTCGGCAGATTTCATGACGAAGGTGGTTCCGTTATTCACCAGGTGTGTTAGCAATATTCTGAGTAACTGCAAAGTGTAGGTTATACTGATTCCAGCGCTCCATTTGGATAACACTAAAGCAGAGGATAGCGTCATTGTATCAACGCCTTCGTTGAAGGCAGTACCTTTTGAAAAGAGAAGATACAAGTATGAGCAATCTTAACCGTTCCTCATAAATGTTAAATTGTAAACCCTTTACTAGGGTCACCATCAAGGTTGAGCGGCAACCCGAACGTTGCTTTGTCTCCTGCTGACAATTATAGTCAACCAACAAACAGAATACAGTTGGGTAAGTGCTATGTCCATAAGTGATTAAATGCTATTTCGGGAAGAGAATAACGTACTGCAAGACTGTGATATTTTATAAAACACAATTTAAGATAAAATATCGTTGGGAGAACATTAACAAGGTACACACAAGAAGAAGCTTTTGAGTCCTTGGAATGATTATGTACACTTGAAGTGTA